GTGGCCTCCCCACTCTCTCCCATCCTGTCCCCCCAACTTCAGCTTCTCCCCCCTCCCCACCCCCACCCACCCTCTTTTTTTCTCGGCTCCCTTTTGGGGCTTGTGGAGACCAGGGGAAGGCATTTCAGGCTGAGGACATTGCCAGATTCCTTGCGCCTGGAAGAAAGCCTGGTGCACAATAGATGCTCAGTAAGCATTTGTAACTATTTGTAGTTCTTCCCCCCCCCCCCCCCGACCCCTGCTAAGATTTGGCATCCCATAGACCTGAATTTGGGTTCTGGTTTTTCCTCTTGCTGGCCAGGCAAGTTAATGTTTTTGAGTCTAAATTTCTTCTTCTGTAACATGAGAATGATAACAATTGTACCGAATTAATGACACTCTCATGAGCATTAAATAACACATATAAAGTGCTTGTTGTAGAAGTACTTCATAAGAGGCGCCTGGGTGGCTCAGTCAGTTAAGTGTCTGCCTTCGGCTCAGGTCCTGATCTCAGGGTCCTGGGATCTCAGGTCCTCCCTGCTCCTTGGGAAGTCCGCTTCTCCCTCTGCCCCTCCCCCTGGCTTGTGCTCTCTCTCCGTCTCTCCCTCTCAAATAAATAAATAAAATCTTAAAAATATAAAATAAAATTAAAAGTACCTAATAAATGGTCGCCCCATCATTATCTCTTAAGATGCAATGCTTTTCGGTTATCCAAACTCCCTTTCAACATTACCTGAATTGACCACAATCTCTCTTTTGAATTTTATGTATTTTTATGCATGCCACCTTGCCGGCCAGTCTGCAACCTCCTTGAGGACAAGATCTTTTTTTAAAAAAAAAACAAAAAACAGAAAACGCTGGGCTCTAACTCATGACGGTGAGATCAAGACCTGAGCTGAGATCAAGAGTCCCACGCTCAACCGACTGAGCCACCCAGGCGCCCCTTGAGCCTAAGATCTTAAGTGTGGCACTGGGGACACAGCAATTCGCTTAGTCTTCCACTGAGCTTAGCACACAAATAGGGCTTGACTCCAGAATTGAATGAATAAGGGAGCACAGCCAGCTTCACAGCGGAACTCTGCTTCTTGAGGGTAAAGACCCCCCCTCTTTCTCCAGACCTCCAAGATACCCGACTGCAATACCCCAGGTGGAGCCCACGCAACTTCTTCTTTGTTCTTGCGTCTCGACCCCGTTAGTGGCCCCCTCACTTCTTCCCCCCACCCCGCGACTGTGCCTGCCCCCCAGATGCAGGGAGGAGGAGCGAAGGTCCAGATGCTCTGCCCTGGCAGGTACCGCTGGCTGGCAGGGGGACAGGTGTGCTGCGGAGCTGGCCCGGCCTGGGGATGTCCCGGAGCCGGTGGATGCCAGCCACGGGGAGGGCGTGAGGGAGGGAGGGAGCTCGAAGCCGGAGCCAGCCGGCTGCCGGCCTGCACTTTGTCCTTACCCTCCCTTTCATCCCGGCCCTCGGAGCCTGGGAGTTTCTCAATGGAGCTGGCGTTTGGGGAATGCTCCGCAGGGGGCTGAGAGGGCTGGCCGACAAGGGGGGGGGCATTCCAAGCATTCTTTACTTCCTGGAGGAGGCGGGGGGCGAGGGGCCAGAGGGGTAGCAGCTGCCCAGCACTGGAGGAAAGGGGATTTCTTTGGAGGGAGAGAATAAAGGCGGAGGGGGGTGGGGTGTCTTCAAGCTGCCGGGCACGGAGAAGGCTGGGGGAGGGGTGGGAGATGCGGGAGGGTGGGGGCGGGGCTGTATAATCCACCAAACCCAACTCCTCCTTTAGTGCCAAACTGGGCACGTCCGTCCAGGGCTCCCCTGCCTGCTTAACGGGCCAGAGCCGCGGAGGGCTGTCTCACGGGAGCCTTTGGGAGCTAAGAGCTGAGCTTTTTGGTGGTTGTGGTTTTTTTTTTTTTTATGAAGCAGGTGCTCCAGATCCCACCTGTGACAGCCCAGAGGGAGTGTAGGTTAAGAGGAGGCTCAAACCCCTGCGCCTCACGTGCCCCAACAGAACAACAGAGGCTATTTTCCAATCACGGTTCTGGTTTTTAATGGAGTGGTCCCTTCCGGCCACAGAGGAAGGAAGAGGGACCATCGGGTAGACAGAGTCAGGAGTCATGGAGCCAGGGAGCCAGAGGCCCTCCTGACAGCGCAGCGGGACATGTGGATTGATTACCCGCCCCCCACCTCCATGATCAGTAGGGAATCATTACAGAAAGATCTCCCTGTTCACAAAACTTAAGACGTCACAGTGGATTTTCCCAGAACACAGTATTCACATTATTGAAAACAGCTTTTTAAAAGACAGAGAGCTGAACACATAAAAATAAATAAGGGCATTCCAGGGTGCCAAAAGCCCAGAGTAATAAACACATCCATTCTCAGTAGCAGGAGCAGCTTGGAGGCCAGAGATGTTTAGAGTCTTCGAGGTCCAAGGTGGGGTCCAGGGGAATCTGGGCCCCGTGAGATGAAATCTAATAGCAGCAGCCTGAGCCCTTTCAAGTCTTCTAGATTCCTAGCAGCAACTCCGACTCCTGGAGGCTTGGGCCAGGTTTGGAGGGTGGGAAAGGGGAGAGAACCTTTGAGGAGATAGAGGTTGTGTTCTCTTACCGCGGAGATAAATCAGGATGGGTACCCCCTAGGAGACCATTCCCAGGACACCCCGGGCACATGAGGGGGTGCCACATTCCAGTTTTAGTGGCAGGTGGGGATGGGACCTGTATGGGGAGAGTTTCCATCCCCACCTTGGCAGGAAGTCACCATGCACAAAACTTACTCAGTGCAAGAAAAGAGACAGGCTCTGAGAGTGCTCTTTCCTGACGCCTGTGGCCCTATGGTGTGAACAGGAAGGGGGCCACCTGGACTGGCCCCACGCCTTCCTCTCCTCGCTCTCTGCTAGCTTCCCCTCTACTGTCTTCTCTGTTCCCCAGGGCTGAAGACCTGAACCCTCCCTCGATGTGCTTTACTTGCCCACTTCCCATCTAGCCCTCCCTAGGGCTCAACTGCAAACCACCTCAGCCTTCCTGGCCAGGAGGCTAGTGTTGGGAGTGGGGGACGTGGCAGTGTCCCCTCGGGGTGCAGCCAGCTGCATTTTAGAACCTGCCCAGGGCCGGGCAGTGCCCACCCTCCCCCCCCCCCACCCTCAGCTGAGCTTGGAGCAGACCCCCAGTGCCTGTCGGTAGGCCTCTGTCACCTCCTGGCAGTCCGTCAGGGAAAAGCAGCTATCCCCCAGGGGGTCCTGCCACCAGCGCCTCAGGCCCCTGCTTCCAGGGCCCTCTGCGGAGGGCTCCTCAAGCCCCATGAGGTTGTCCACAGACACACAGCCCCGCAGCAGGGGCTCGGGGAGCCGTTCAGGCAAGTCCAGCTGGTCGAATGACTCAGAGGACAAGATGCTGTCCTCACTCATAGCCCCTGAGGGGCGGCTGGCCCGGGCCAGAGGGTGAGGGGAGGCCAGTTCGTCCAAGGAGCCGAAGGCGGTGGGGGTTGGAAGCTCCAGGGCCGTGCAGGAGAACTTGCCATTGTGTTTGAGGATGCCTTTGCGATGGAGGGGCAGCCCTGAGGTTTGGGGGGGCTTCTGCTCCTCAGAGCCCCCACCCACAAACACGTCCCCTGCATCCAGGAGCTCCCCAGACTCACTGGGCTCAGGAGAGGAGTAGTAGCCAGATTCCCGCTGCCGTGACTTCTTGAGGATGCCCTTCCTGGGGAGCAGGGGGCCAGCCTGTCCTGGGTCTGCGGGGCCTGGGCTGGGCTCAGGGTCTTCCCTCGCCGCTTCCAAAGAGGGCAGTGCCTTCTTCTTGAGAATGCCCTTGGGCAGCTTGAGGTTGCCCCTGGCAGGGCGAACGGAGGGGTCGTCCGCCAGGTCCCCCTGGAGAGACTGGGCCATGTCGTTCTCCTTACGGGACTTCTTCAGTGAATGCTGGCGCTCCAGGCCTGGGGCAATGCTGCTGCTGCCGCCGCCGCCGCCGCCACCGGGTGCATGCTGCTTGAAGAAGCTGCAGACCTTGGCCCCGTTCTCCAGGAGAGGGCGGGAGGACCGCCGGAGCCAGTCAGCCATGGAGGCCCGGCCAGAGTCGCTGCCAGGGCGCCCTCCGTCGTGCAGAGCTTCCTGCTCCCCCACACGGGTGGCGTAGCCCCAGTTGACCCACCAGTGACTGGCCACATCCTCCAGGGTGGCTCGGCGGGTGGGGTTCACCATTAATAGCCACCGGATCAGACCACAGGCATCTGGAAGACAGAAGACGGGGCTTCAGACTGGCAGCCATGGGAATGGGCACCCTGCAGCCCCCTCTCACTGGTTCACCCTGATCTGTGCTAAGACCGTGCACCCCTGTGTCAGATGCATCTAGTCCCACCTGGGCGCGCAGATGCCACAGCCCGGCCAGCTCCCCAGAGTCTCCAGCTTTCTGGGATTGACTGCCCATTTCTCCTTCCTTCCCTCGGCCCCTCAGGACCAGGGCCTCTTCTTTAGCCTTGCTCTACGTTGGTGTTTCCTCCCGGAAATGCAACCCTGAGGGGAGAGGCTGTGCTCAAGAGTAAACCAAGGTTCTCACACCCTTCTTCCTGCCCTCTCCACCGGACGTGAAAGGACAAAGAGACTTCTAAGGATGAGCCCTAGAGCAGTCGGGAACGAGGTGACTGCAGCAAAGAGGATCCAAGTTAAACCATCAGAAGCACTTTCCAAGTATGAAGCAGCATGCCCATACCGGAGAGAAGGGATGCACTTCCCCTCTGGGAGTTACAGACCCTGGAGGCAGAGAGAAGACAGCAGGTGGGGGGTGGGCCTCTTCACTTCCCTGCTCCTGCCTGGTGCCCACCTCAGGAACAAGGGAAGGACACACGGGGCCTGGAGGACAACACCTGCACCTCTCACTCACCGGAGGGTTTAGGCGGCTCCCGGTAGGACCCGTTGCTGATCTGTCTCACCAGCGTCTTATGGTCCTGCCCGTCAAAGGGCATGGTGCCGTGCACCAGGATGTATAGAAGGACACCCAAGGACCAGCTGTCCACCTAGGGAGCGAGAGACAAAGAGAGAGAGGGTCAGCGAGGATGCCTGAATGCTACCAGCTGGAGGGCATCCAGCAACACCAGAGAAGAAAGAGGTACACGCTGGAGAACTCAGGGGGCCGGGGCATCTGAGGACCACCTCCCTCTGGGACCCAGGAGCAAAGAGGGTGACGCTGTAGAGGGACTGAGGTTCAGGAGGACAGGTGTTGTCCATCCCCTGCAGGTAGGAGGGGTGGCTGCCAGCGAAAGCAGTGGTGAGGTCATCCCTTCTGGGCAGGATGGGGTGGTGATGAGAGAGCCCAGCTCTCAGGGAGCCTAGCCAGGTGCCAGGAAAGAGAACAGCAACTAGGAAGGTGAGGGGGCACAAAACCAGACTGGGGAGTCAGCAGACTTAAGTTCTCGGCCCAGTTTTGCTGCTCCTGCTAGGACCTGACAAGTCCCGACTTTTGTGTGGAGGGTGGGGGTGGAGTTTTGTGCTCTGAAGAGGGGAAGAACTGGAAAGCCAGCCCATCTCTCTCAGAAAATCTAGAGGCACCGTCAGTGGTGGAGGCAGGCTGCGGGTGGAGAGCAGACACTCACCTCCGGGCCCGTGTAGGGCTTCCCGTTGACAATCTCGGGCGAGGCGTACAGGGGGCTCCCACAGAACGTCTGCAGGAACTTGCCATGGTGGTAGAGGTTGGAGAGCCCGAAGTCCGCGATCTGCAGGAGTGGGTCAAACACAGGCGGGGGTCATGCCAAGGCCTGGCTTGTTCTGTAGCTCTCGGCCCGCCCCTCTGCAGATCCCAGGGAAATCTAGGCCCTCGCAGAAGGAAAGGGGGCCGGGACCCCTGCCCCCCATGGCACAGACAACACAGCTCAGGCCCTGCAAGAGAGCACCTTGCGGAGCTTGTGTCAGTGAGGAATGCCTAGGTGTGTGGAGGCTCCGGGGTCCTCCCCGTTCCCCCGGCCCCTTGGCTGAGATGCTGGACCCCCACTCCAGGGATGCACTCTCCTGCCTATAAACATCCTCCTCACCCGGCAAGCCCACCTTCCCTGAGACCTCCTTTTCCCACAAAGCCCCACCGTTTCCAATGGCTGGCGGTAGTCCCTGCTCATCAGTCTCCCTCCTCCTATTACCCTGTCAGCATGTTCCCCATGCTCACCTCCTTCTGCCCCTACCCCTCCTGCAGCTCTTAGCACAGGTGTGACCCAAGGATGGGACTCAACCGACACTTAGTGACTGAAGGAAGTGTAGGGAGAGAATCGACTGCTCATGCCAACACCATGGCTCTCCGAAGCCAGCCAGCTCCATTAGTGATTACTGTGCAAGGGTTGGCCGGCCCTTCCTAGCAAAGGGCTCATCTCTGCCCATAGCTGGGCAGGAATGTAGTGGCAGGAACGTGGGGTCACGCCAATATAGCTAAGAAGCAAGGGTGAAGTCAGAACAAAGATCAGGGCTGTGGTTAGAGCCCAAAAGGAAGAATCTTCTTGCAGGACTCCCTGAGCCATCTGATACCAAGGGCTTGAGAGGCCCCAGGCCTATCTTCTCATTCCCCAGAGAGACTTTTTCCCCCAGCTAACCTCAGATAGAAGCAGAGGTCAATGCCCTGCTGCTTCCTGCCTCTTCACCCCCAGCAGAGCGTCATGGGTGCCCAGGGTGGGGAGGGGCTGTTTATGAAACTCTGGCTCCTTCGTTTATGGTTTTATTGGCCTCTTATCAAGCAGTTACCATTTGAAGCCCATAAAGAGGCAGATGATTGGTTCAGATGGAAAGTTCGTGCCTGTCTGGTTATGTGAGTTTCCTGGCTCTGCCTCCCCTCCCCCTGCTTAGCATCAAAGAAAGCCCCACCTGCTCTGGGAATTGGCTGGGTAAGGGGGAATAAACTCAGTGCCAGGGTACTTCAGGGCATGGGTTCAAGGGCCACTGAAGGGAAGGAACTGTGTGTTGGGTTCAGGAAGATTCTGAGGAGTTGTCCTAGTGCAGGGTCGGAGCCCTCCCAGGCACCTGCAGGGGCCAGCTCTTGTCATTTCCCCCTTCTATCCCTGAGATCTGAGTTTATGCCATCAGCACCTCTCGGACCTCAGCTTAACTATTTAGGCGTGGGAATTCAGCAGCTGCAGGAGGCAGAAAGCTGGTGCTGGGGTGCTTGGTCTATGGAGGAAAGTGCCAAAAGGGCTACCGAATGGCAGCAGGTTAATATGTGTGTGTATGCGTGCAGGCAGGTGGGGAGAACTGAGGCCATGGCCCTCTCTCCCTGCCAGGCCCAAGATTGCATTCAAAAGCTGACCCTAGATCTAGGCTCCTATCAGTCGGTTACATCAAGAGCACTGGCTGGGGAATCAGCAGACCTTGGTTCTAGCCCAGACGCAACCACTCCCTTGCCATGGGACCTTGGGTAAGTCACCCCTTATCTTGAAGCCTCAGGTCTTCATCCATAAAACGAGGTACTGGAAAGGGTAATGGCTGAGTTCCCTACCGGTACCAACATCTAAATCTGAGCTTCTAGAATCCCCTAAGTGCTTAGAGATAGACACTTGACAAGGAAACAGGGCAGAAAGGCTGGGGTGGGGTAGGGGGAGCTGTGGGAAACAAAGAAGTGCGCTCACCTTAATATTTCCATTGGCATCTAAGAGGATGTTCTCCAACTTGAGATCCCGGTGGACAACCCCATTCTGAAAGAGGGAGGGAGGAAAGGGGGTCAGGGGGAGGTCCCCAAGAGGGACAGGAGGACATGCAGGCCTAGTCTGGAAAGTGAGGTCAACACAAAGGGGGCCAAGCTGGGGGAGCGTGGGTAGCTGGGAGGACCCATCTCATTGGAACAGAGTTGGACGGATCACAGAGCCTTCCACCCCTTGGGGCCACTGAGAGAGAAGCCAACATCCCCAGGCCCCAGAGTCCAGACAGAAGTTTGCCTCTGCCTCGGTCTCCCTGTGGGATCCTGGACGGGTTGTGGATCTGTCTGGTGCAAGCCAGTCCCAGAGCCCCAGGGACCGCCCCTTGGGACGGGGCACGCGGCGGGGGGGCGGGGCTCACCTGGTGGCAGTAGTGCACGGCCGAGACGATCTGTCGGAAGAAATGGCGGGCCTCGTGCTCGCTGAGCCGCTGCCGCTCGCTGACGTAGTCGTACAGGTCGCCCCGGCTGGCGTACTCCATGACGATCACAATCTTGCTGCCATTCTCAAACACTGCGGCAGAGCAAGGTGGGACTGTCAGGCCTTTCCAGAGTGTGCTGCCCCCCCCACCCCCCGCTGGCCCCAAACCAGACAGGACCTTCCTGCAGTGATATCTGCTCACGGGATGGGACAGGGGCGAGTAAGGGCAGGAACATGGCTGCTGAAGGAGCCACGAGGTGAGGCCAAGGGAACTGGCTTATGCTCCCTCTCTTTGCAAGTTCAGGCTTTTGAGGATTCTTTCCATTTATCTATCTATCTATCTATCTATCTATCTATCTATCTATCTACCTACCTACCTACCTATCTACCTACCTATCTACCTGAGAGAGAGAAAGAGCAAGGGGAGGAGCAGAGGGAGACAGACAAGCAGACTCCGTGCTGAGCACAGAGCCTGACACAGGACTCGACCCCATGCCCCTGAGATCATGACCTGAACCAAAATCAAGAGTCTGACGTTTAACCTACTGAGCCACCCAGGCACCCCAGGCTTTTGAGGATTCTTAAAACCAGCCTGCAAATTCCCAGGAAGGCAAGGACATCAAGGGATGAGACTAAGTCATGTCCTCTGGCTCAGAATCTGGTACTTTGTACCTTGGGATGGTGGGCAAATCTCGTCCAGATACATCAGTAAGAATTCAGGTTTGGGGTTTGAATCCTGGTCCCATCACTGACTAGCCAGGTGACCTTGGCAAGTTATTCAACCAGTGTGCCTCAATTTCCTCATCTGAAGAGCGGGATATAATGGTAACCTCACAGGGCTGGGGAAGACATAGAGAGAAGTCAGGGATAGCTCCGGGGCTGGCTGAGCAAGCTAGCATGGGGTCTGACATATGAGCAAGCACACAATAAATGGTGCCTACTGTTATATTTATGATCAGCATCCTCGTGCATAAACTTGAAAAAGAATGCCCATAATAATGTTTGCCTCAAGGATCTGAAGAGGGATAAAGGTACTTGAATGTGGTGTGTAAACTATACAGTACCATGGAAGACTGAGCTGGAGATCTAGTACCCTCAGCATCTTTGACTTCCTGGCAATAAGCCCATCCCGGCTCATGTGCCACTCAGGCTTTGTCCTGGCTCGAGCTGCCCAGAAGTGTAGGGAAGGACTGGTTCATCAAACTGGCTAGGTGTGGTCAGAGCGTGTATGTCTGTGACATTACATCTCTGTGTCAAACGAGTCCTAGGAGTCTGGCTTGCTGAGCCAGCCCCAGAACTACTGCTGTCTAGCCTGGGAGAAGGAGCAGAGAGAGGACGCTTCTGCCTGAGGAATCCCGGGTGCCAGGCGATTGGATACATGGCTGGGAGAACTGTGCTCTTTTCCTCTCCCACACGGGCAAGTGCTCCTGATGCATGGTGGCCCCGTCTCCTGGGGGGTACCCAGGTGAGACCCTACTCCCGTGGTCCTCCAGATGTCTGTAGGGGTGCGTGCCACCTTTGTGCCATGAAACTGGAGGTCAAGAGCTAGCCCCGGTAAATTCTGGAGAGCTGCTATGTTCCTAAAACTGGAGCCTCCCCCGAATCCGTACCTCCTGAAGACGAGGGCAGGCTGGGGATGGATGGGGAGGGGGTGTGCCTGTCACACAGTAACTGTGACACCCCTACCTACAATCGTGGACTCTGAGGGGCAGGAGGATCCACATCCTAAGCTTCAAGACTCAGTTCCCAGAGGTAGCTGGAGGTATGGGCGTAGGGGAGAATTCACGCTTTCTCTCTCTCTCTGCCCAATCACCAAGCTCAAGCTGGCTTAACCAATACTCTGTCATCTACCCACTCTTCCCTTGGGGAAATACAGAGAGCTACAATTAGCCTCCTCACCCACTTGCCTGGGCTCCGTGTGGCTAAGTGGACGTGCCCTTAGTCTTCCTATGGACAGAACCCAGGAAAGCCTTCTCCCTGACTTCCCACCAGGAATATTCAGACGGAGGGCAAAGCTACAGGCCGTCTTCCCTCCCTCCTGCTGCTACTGCTACCCCTGGTTTTCCAGCTCACTGATATTATGGAAAGGCTGGAATCAGGCGTGTGTGGGAGCATGCTTCCCCTCTTTCCCTCGTCACCCTCTCTTGCTCACTTGGTTGTCTGGGTCACAGGGAAGAGAGCAGATGGGGTGGAAAGCCAACACTGATGTCAGAGCAAGAGGAGGCTAAGAAAGATGAGGAAAGGTGGGAGCCAGCCCCATGGCAGGAATGATTCAGAGTCCAGGTCAGACTGTAGGAGGCCTGGCTCTTGGGACGGGTGAAGAATAACCTCCACGCACCTGAGACAGGTACAGGTCTATGTGTGTTCCAGCCTCCCCCAGAATGCTAAGGATCTCACTGGGTTGGGGAGGTAGTGTTCCATTATGGAAAACCTAACAATGACAACAAGAAAGCCTACAGTCCGTTGAGTTCCTCCCATGAGTGAATACTCAGTGACATTTAATTTGATCTTTGCAGCTACCCTGTGATGTAGGTGGGATTGTCCCGTTTTGCAAACGAGGAACTGAGGCCCTACCCAGAGCCTAGTTAAATTAGTTGCCCAAAGTCCTACAGCTGGGTTTCAAATCTACCTTTTGTCCAACTCTAAAGCCTGTGTCTTTTTCACTTCTTTGTATTCTCTGTTCTGACTGCGCGCGCGCACGCGCACACACAGCTTCGAATGCCCTGCCTCTGTACCTTCATGGATGGCAATGATGTGGGGGTGGTTGAGTGACGACATGATCTCAATCTCTCGCCGAATGTGCATCAGGTCTTGCTCATCTTTGATTTTGTCTTTCCGGATGGACTTGATGGCCACCTGGGAACAGAGAATGCAGGAGACTGAGGAGAAAGGTCTGGCAGGTAAAGGCATCCCTAAGGATACTCTGGGAGCTCTGACCCTGGCCGCCTGCAGCTGTTACAAAGTCCTCAGTGTCGCGCACCCTGAGAAACCATTCCATCCTGCCCCAGGGTAGGTGACAGAGAGGCTGGAGAGCACCTTCTCTGGAGCACCTGGGTTAGGCGCAGTCCACACAGCAGGAAGGAGTATGGGCCGGTGACCTTATTCAGAGTCCACAGATGAACAAGGAAGGTACAACCTGCATTCGTAAGGCCGATGCTTTATGACTTACAAAGCAAACTTACCATAGGACACCACGAGGACAAAGGTTGGCCTGGTTTTGCTCAGCACTGGATCCCTGATGCCACACACAGTGCTGGGCACACAGGAGGTGCTGAACGAGCATCTGTTGCATTGTTACTAACACATCGGCCCCTCCAAGCCGTCCTGAGAGGTAGGCCCAGAAAGTTCCATCGCCCTCACTGGTAGGGGAGAAAACTGGGACCCAGGGAGGTTAAAGGACCTGCTCAAGGTCGTGCAGTGACTTACCGGCACAAACAGGAATGAACTTTGAAAACATTATGCTAAGTGAAAGAAGCCAGACACACAAGTACAGATGGATGATTCTTTTTTCCTAAAGATTTTATTTATTTATTAGAGAGAGAGAGGGAGAGAGAGAAGGAGGGGAAGCACAACGAGGGGGAGGGGCAGAGGGAGAAGCGACTCCCCGCTGAGCAGGGAGCCCCTGGGATCATGACCTGAGCCACCCAGGTGGCCCTGTTCTCCGTATAGGAGGTAACCAGAATAAGCAAAAGCATGGGGCGGAAAGTAGAACAGCGATTCCTAGGGAGGTGGTGGGGGTGGGAGTGGGGTGGGGGGCGCTATTGTTTCATGGGTACAGAGCTTCTATGGGGGGTGATGAAAAGATCTTGGAAATGGGTAGTGTGGATGTTTGCATGACATTGTGAATGTACCTAATAGGTCACTGAATTGTACCTTTAAAATGCTTAAAATGCTAAATTATATGTTATATATATTTTTAACCACAAAAAAAATTATGAACAAAAACCCCACACCAGTCCCCTCAGTCTAGGTAAGGAATGTGTCCCTCTCTTAGCAACAACCAACCAGACAGTGAGAGTCCCCTGGGCTTTGCTGTCTCCTCGGCAAAGGTGCAAATACCATATAAGGATCTAGCCCGGGGGCTGGCAAGTGCGGTGGGCTCAGGAAGGGCGGGGTGAGGCAACAGGAAATGAAAGAAGTGCCAAGATGCCAGGCCAGCAAGCAGAACTCTTAGAGCCCGAGGAGCCCCTCTTTCTCTGCCCTGTCCCACTGAGCAGCCACCGGGGCAGAAAGAGGAGGGTGACAAGAAGCCTTCCCCGCCTGCGGAAAATGCCGCCTGGGGGACAGTCAGGGGACCTGGGGTCACTGTCCCGAGGAGCAAGTCCCACCCCCTTTCAGAGCCTCGGTTGCCTTTTCTGTGCAACAACCGGGGGGGGGGGGGGGGGGGGGGGGGGGGGGGGGGGGGGGGGGGGGGGGGGGGGGGGGGGGGGGGGGTTGCCACAGGGCCGGTCAGTTCCTGACGAGTCCCGTCCAAGGACACGAATGGTAAATTCAAGACTTCCTCTTTAGGGGAGGCGGATGCGTTGTGACAAAACCTGAAGGCCCAGACTGAGGGAAACTGCTTCTCATTCCAAGTCCCAGGAGGGTTTGCCTCCCCTCAAGGTTCAGAAGGAGACGGGGGAGAAAGGAAACCACAGCTCCAGGGGAGGGGCCTCTAATCCCCCCTTTCACAAGGCTCTGGAGGCAGACAATGGCTTCCGGCTCGCGGGGACAGCGCCGAGCAGGCCTGCGCTCCCCATCGGACAAGAATGCGGAACAGCCTTAATCCCGTAAGGGGAGCTGCGCACAATGGCCGGCCCGGTCGCCCCGGCAACCGGCCAGGGATGGCGTGCCCTCCGCCCCGCTCCTCCCCTGGAGCTGCATCCTTGAAAGAGGGGAGGCCCAGCTCTTGTGCCCTCCCGGAGCAGGGCAGGGAGGACAATGGCAGCAGGAGGGACCTGTCACCATGGAGCCTGCTCCCCAAGATGTGGGAGAGGCCCACGGTGCAGCTGCAGGGGACGGCGCGGGACGGGGCCGCCCCTCAGGGGCTTTCTTCGGGGACCGGCCCCGCCCCCTGCCCTTGTGCTCCAAACCACCCTGATGAGCTAAGCAGAAAAATCCCTGGCTTAGAATTGGACAGGGGGATGGGGATGGGGAGGAAGGGCCTTGAATCCTCCTCCAACGAGGAGGATTCAGCTTGCAGCATCAATCCTGCACACCCCTCTCTCCACACCCCGTTCTCTCCCTGAAGGGGAGATTTTATGGACTCGTTCTTCTCTAAAATTCTTTGTTTTAAAAATCAGACAATAGATAAAGTCCTATGAGCTCTTCAGATAAAGGGCCGTAAACATTGCGTTAATAGGTAGTAAAAAAAAAAAAAAAAAAGACCATATATAAATCACATATCTAGAAAATAAAACAGAAATAGTTGAGAGCTTAAGATGCACGTGTATGCAAAAACTAGGCATATTACAACTGTGTACACACAAACCTATACAGCAAGGAGATGAATTCATCACAGGCTTAGGGGGAGAGGTCTCACAAAGATGAGGCCTAAAAGAAATGAGGTTCCAAAAAAGAGGGTCTGAGCAGGGCTAGGAGTCCCTGGGTCGGTAGAGAGTATAAATGTTGAACCCCGAGATCCATTTCTTTCAACTATGAAGCCTATGATTCCACGTGAGGATTGTTAATCCTCAGTGAACGGCTCCATCTTCCTGCTAGCTCACGTTCCGGCATCAGGGGGCTAGGTCAAGGAGCCAGCTCCACCTGGACAACCTCCCCACCTCAAGTTACCCACATTAGGTCCGAGGAGACCACAGGGGCTGGCACTTCCTATGAAGGAAACAAGTTATGTCATCAGGCCTCCACTAGTCTCCAAGCAGGTGACATACAAGAAGAACGATGTGTCACAGCCCTGGGGGCGCTGGGCCACTGTTCCCAACCTATTCCTGCCCCACAGGACAGGCCCCTTACCATCTGCTGGCTAGTCTGTCATAGTAGAGGAGATACAGAAACAGCTCAGGCCTAGAAGGTGCTCAGCATACAGAAAGCATTCAACAACTGTTTACTGGTGAACACAAATCACAAGTCAGTAGTTATTGGCTAAGTCACTGGCTGGTCCCCTGACTGATGGGATGAACACCCAGACAAGATTTTCTGCCCTTCTTCCCAGGTATGGGTGGAGCCAACTTCAGTTACAGGATGAATTTGAGAGACCTTTGTTCTCATATTCAAGTTAGTTGAGCATCCATTCTCAAAGAATTAAAATATACTAACCAGAGCCAAGGAGGGGAACAATTGCTGAATGGATCTCCCAGAGGTAGGAAGGCCACGCGCCTAGAGACAATCCTGGTTCATCCTGGTATAATTATTAATAGAGCCCTTTTAGGGGCGCCTGGGTGGCTCAGTTCATTTAGCGTCCAACTCTTGATTTTGACTCAGGTCATGATCGCCAAGTTCTGGGATCGAGCCCCACCTCCGGCTCCGTGTTCACCAGGGAGTCTGCCTGAGATTCTCTCTCCTTCTCCCTCTGCCCCTCCCCCCACTCTTGTGCTCTCTCACTCTCTATCTCTAAAATAAATAAAATCTTAAAAAAAAAAGCTCACCCTAATTTAAAAAAAATAGAACCCCTTTTACTCTCCAAAGTAAAAGTACCCGAGTTAAGGTGATATGTTATATGGCCACCTTACAGTGGGGCAGGACACCCAGGTGCAACAATTATGTGATAATATAAGTGTGAATGCCAGGTCAGTGGAGTGGGGGTCAAGAGCCCAGGTATCTGATTATTATTTGTCCCTATGGAACCATGCAACTCAAGACAAGCCACTTAAATGATGTGGTTAACTGGTGTGGCTAGTTTTAATGTCCTCATCTGAAAAATGAAAGGGCATTTATTCTTCAAACATCTGCTGAACACCTACTATGTGCCTGGTGCTATGCTAGGTGTTGGAGACTTAGACAAAAAATGGGTGGTCCCTGCACCAAGGCCCTCAGTCCCGTGGGAGAACTGGCAACTAAATCTACTGTGATGAATAGGACAGTTGTGGTCCCTGCCTGCCCAGGGGCTTCAGGAGTGCTGATGAGAGCTTTCTTTGCCTGGGGGAGCACGGAAAACCACCTCTGGGAGAAAACTTCATCTCAGATATTGAAGGATGAGTGGCGTTTGCCAAGCCAAAGGGGGTAGGCTGGGAAGGGGCATATAGGGCATTATAGGCAGAGAGAAAGGTTTGTGCAAAGGCCAGAAAGAAAGGAACCATTCACGAATGTGTATATCAGGACCTCTAAGCTCCCTTCCAAACTCTAGCATTTTCTGCTGAGCTTCTTCAGAAGTGGGTCACTGGCTACTCTGCCAGGAAGGTGCTGGCCAAGGATTGTTGGAATGGGCTTGTTTGGAGACCCTGTGCTATGTCCGTGTTAACCTGCCGGAGCAAAAGTCCTATGGATGCTGGCCCATTTTGCAAAGACAGCAGGACTAATTCCCCCATCCCCTTTTGCAAATGGCAAATGCTGAAGTCCAAAAAGGTCCACTGACTGCCAAGTTTCCCTGACACACCAAGGCAGAATCAGGATGGAACGGTGTTGTCTGCAGAAGCTGCCATCTCAGAAGACAAAAGTTCCTTGCAGGTGCCTTGCCCTGCCTCGGGCTCTGTGCCTCCCACCCCTGGAGAAAGGAAGGCCTCACCCCCTGCCTTGGGCCAGGCTGTGCAGTACCACCAGGCACCCCATCCCTCTTAGAGATCCACAACCACACCGGGGAGATGGGTGTTGGGGGCTCAATTGGTTAGACGCTGCCTCCCCTGCAGGAACTCAGATCAGGTCTTAGAAAAAGAAGATCTAGAGGTGCTGGTTTCAGGTCCCAGGAGACAGGGTGCAAGCTGGGCATCTCTGGTCATAGCTATCACCAGGAATTGGAGCCAAGATCCTTGATTCCTCTCTGGCCTTTCATGGAGCACCTGCTGTCTGGGAGGCAGGGCAAGGAGCTGGAGGATGACCCATTTAGATAACGGAGGAGAGGTTAGGCTGGCCTGGGCTCGCCTGGGCAGAGTGGGAATGGGTCTGGGGGTGGCTCACCACCAAGCCTGCCAGAGACCCAGGCAGGGAGCAGGAATGGGCTCCGGGAATGAGGGGAACCTGAGCCACCTCCCCTAAGCCCCATGTTGTGCCCGCCCCCTCCTTGCCACTTCCCTGCCCACTCTGCCAGGTTGCTGGGCAAGGCGCTTCCCTGCCCGGTCCTCTTGTGTGGTTTGGCCACAGCCCAAGGACAAGAGTCGCCTGCAGCCGAAGCCTCCCTCCCTGCTGCTGAGCAGGCAGGTGTAGTCAGGGCTGGGAGGGCAGCGTCATGCAGAAGAGGACTTTGGTGGCTGGCCAGGCAGAGCCCTTCTCTGGAGCAGGGGCTGAAGGAGAGACTAGGACTTTGAACAAAGCAAAGACCAAAGTGGTTTGGCTTAGGGAAGCACAGCACAACCCATTCTCTTGCTCAGGGCAGCACAGACCCAGGATGGGTACCCCAGGAGAGAGTCAAAGCCAGCCTTGCTGGGATAAACACTGTGTGTGTCAGCTCCTTTGCTGAGCACTTTACCGATATGATCTTATGTCATCCTCTGAGAACCCCAGGAGGTAGGAAGTATTATAATGCCCACTCTACGGTCCGATTCCTTCACTGACAGAGGAGGAAATGGAGATACACAGAGGTCACAGAGCTCGTAAGCAAGAGAGTCTGAACCGGAACACTTACGGTCTGACTCTGAGCTACACAGCCTCCTTGACGAGGTCAAACCCAGGAATGTCATGTAGTTCACTCATCCAGGATCCCTCAACATAGTCAGCACATGTGGGGGTGGGAGTTCGTTCCCAGGGACTCTTCCCACCCTCAGCACTGCCTGGAGCTCTGGGAAAGGCGGCTTGTGCTCGCTGTTGGAATGACAAAGCACACAGAGGCAAGCCCGGGCTCAGCTCAAGGCCAACTCCCCGTCCAAGACTCAGTATTGGTCATCCATGGCCTGGGGTGGTCAAGTCAGGAGCCTGTGTTGCAGGCATGCCACTAACCAGCCACAGGACAAGTCCCATCCGCTCTCTGGGCCTCAGTTTCCCCATCTGTCGATGAAGGAATCAGACCATCTGGGTCATTTTCAAACGTTTTGACATCCCATGCAGCAGTCCAACATATATAAGACACAGAAGCATCCCTGTCCCAGATCACTATCCACTTGGTCTCCCCTAATGTTCCTCATGGCACCCCTTGGAGAGAAGACAGCCATGTAGATCATCCCAAAGGCTTTGGTGGATTCTACCATTCCAGGGACCCCAGCAGGTGTTTTTCTTTTGGGAGGAGGGGTAGTCAGGGGAGCTGGGAGAGTCACAGGAGGAAGTGTCATTTGGATACCAGGAATGTACTCAGAGATGAGAAGCTCCAGAGCAAATATTTGTTTTTCCTTTGATGCCCTCCTGGAGTAGCCATTAGTCCTGCCCACTTGCCCCTCCCTTGGGGCAGTCCCATCTGGCCCCTGATAATCTCATCTAGGCAGGCTGGGAAAGGGAAAAATGCTAGAAAGGTAGAGAGAATATTGGGATGGGAGCCAGGCAGCAGGTTTTCCTCTGAATCTAGCCCCTACCAACAACCTCAGTTCATTTTGAGGGATGTCATGGGCCATTTTCATGTCCCTCTCCCTCACAGGAGATCCTGAGGCACCAGGTCAGCCTCTCTTAAGGGAGGACAGTGAAGGGGCCAGAGTGGGGGTGGGGTGAGGAAGAAGAGTCCTCTCCAGAACGGAGAAGCCATTAGCCCCCAGGCAGCTACTCTCCAAGCAGGACGGAGACCCTGAGGAAGTTCCCTACAGAAATACAGGGTGGTCTGTGGATCAGGGTGGCCCCATGCCTACTGACCTTAGCTCCCTGCACACAGTGAGAGGCAGGAGGCCGGGGTGTACCTTCTGAATTCTCTCTGTTCTGATGTAATAAGAGCTGGAATCCCTACCTACAGCCACTGAGGTTTGAAAACTGAAAGCCGGTTTATCTCATTCCAGAATCAATGAGATCTCTCTCTCTCTCTCTCTCTCTCTCTCTCACACACACACACACACACACACACACACACACACACACACAGTGCTCCAGGTCAAGAGTCTGATGGGATCTCAACTTCAATCTCAATTTCCCAGTTCCTGGGCCACCCTAGGCCCCCAACCCAGTCTGTCCGTCAACAAGAGGCACATGCTGTTTTGCAGCTAAGCCCCTGACAAAGCCTGAGCCCAGCAGTCTCAAGCCTGGAGCCTCACTGGGCCCTCACATTTTAGAGAAAGAGAAAGAAAGGAAAGCCAGGAAGTACATGATTGCCCAATAGCTGTAACCTGGCAGCAGGCAACTGGGGACAGTGCCAGGCCTTAGCAGGAAAAACATACTCGGCCCTATTGATGAGGCCATAATCCACTCCCTTTCTCCAGCATCCACTCTCCCTCACCAATGAAATGACTTCTTGAATTTCAAACCAGTTACTGACTGCAAAAGCAAACAATCTGGGAAGGCCACCGGTCCCACAGCCCATGGGGTAAACCAGGGACACACAAATACACACGCATGTCTCATAAACAGCACCCAACGGAATTTTGCAAAACAGTCCCTAGACCACCTGCCCTAAAAAGCTTGTAAAAATGCAGGTTGGGGTGGGGGGCGCCTGGGTGGCTCAGCTGGTTAAGCGTCTGCCTTTGGCTCAGGTCATGATCCCAGGGTCCTGGGATGGAGCCCCGCATCGGGCTCCCTGCTCAGTGGGGAGCCTGCTTCTCCCTCTCCCACTGCTGCTCCCCCTGCTTGTGCTCTCTCACTCTTTCTCTTTCAAATAAATAAAATCTTTAAAAAAAAATGCAGGTTATCTGACCCATCCTAGACTTTGGAATAAAATCCTCTGGATGTGGAACCAGAGAAGTATTTCAAAAGAAGCACCCCAGGTGATTCCTATGCACGTTAAACACATGTTTGTTAACTAACTTTTGGCAAACTTGCTACCCTTTCAGGATTTGCCTTTCCAGATATAAATATCGGTTCTTACTGCAGTTTCTGTGTATCAGGATCAATTTAAATTCACATTTGTCGCTCATTCAATCTTGGGAGGGAGGCTGTGTTGTTTTTTTTTTCAGTTTTGCAGAAGGTGAAACTGAGTATAATGATACAATAAATTACTCAGTTCTCACAGATTACTACTACTATCACTACTACTATTACCTATGTCCTCCGACCCCACATTAACTGGACATCTTTCTGAAAAGGCTGAAAACCCAAAGGTATCCTGGGACACAGTAGACTTTGCACCAGAGCCTGGTTTCACATTTCCCAGAATAAAAAATCCATCGTAATGAAACTTGGAGTCAATTTTAGAGCCAGAAAGGACCTAAGTGTCAAGCCCATCTCCACCCCACCCCACCCCAGTGCAGATCTCCATGTAGGCTGGGCTGCCAGATAATAAGAACTGAGTTGAGGAACTGGACCTCACACATTCATCCAAGCACACACTCATTTACTAAACTCATACTAAGATCAGGCACCTTCTACTTCCTCTTCCCATTCCACTCTTTTGGATAGTACGCTCCAAGCAAAATTCAACCTAAGTCTCATCTTCTGTAGGGAGTCTTCTCAAGACAGGACACTATGCATCTTTTATGCACCCTGCACCAGCCGTCCGCCTCACTAACTGGGCAGTCATCGTATGCGGGCTAGTGTTGGGCTTCTCAGGTCCCATGCACGCCCCACCCCCGGCCCCCACCGCACACACACGCGCGCGCGCAGACTGAATGCTGGCCCCTCCACCGAGGAGGGCACTAGCCCCCGGCCCGGCCTGCATCCCTCACCGTCCGCGGCCAAGCCCCGCGCCCGCCCCGCGCCCGCCCCGCCCCGAGCAGCGCAGCGAGAGGGAATCGCACTTACCAAGCGCCCCGAGCTCTCCCGCGCCTTCTTCACCTTCCCGTAGGTGCCCTTGCCCAGGGTCTCGAGGAACTCGTAGCGGTGGCGCAGGTTGTGCTTGTGGTGGTGCCGCTTCACCGCCTGCTTCTTCATCTGGGGCTTGGGCGACTTGATGAGCCCGTCTGTCAGGGGCCGGGCAAGCTCGGCGGTCAGGGCGGGGGCGGCCGAGGGAGCCGGGCCGGGGCGCCGGGGGAAAGCCAACGGCTCCATGGCGGGCAGGAGGCGAGCGAGGGCGGAGGGGGAGCCGGCTGCGCGGGGAGAGCAGAGCTAGAGCCGGGGGTACACGACCCGCGCCCGGGCGGGGAACCCGCAGCTGCACAACAGCGCGCGGCAAGTCGCCGCGTTCCAAGTTGTTATAAACGCTCGGAGCCCGAGGCCCTGGCCACGCCCCCCCCGCGCCCATTGGTCTGCTCGCCGGCACGGCCGGCAGGGCCGCCCGCATTGGCTCGCCCGGGCCTCTGGCCCCGAACCTGCCCCCCCCCGCCCCCGCGCCAGCCGAGTCTGGGAAAGGTGTCAAAGGAGCCCCGCCCACCTGGGCCCCAGAGGGACAGGCTCCGGGGAATAGGAGACATCAGAGGAGGCTGCTTGGCTCGTCGGTACTGCCGGGGTCTGGAACCTTTGAGGGGCCCTGGAACTGCCTTTGCCTCTGAGCGGCACTCTGTCCTGGTTAGAGCCACCTGTCGTCCTCCTATTGTACTGTTTTCTCTGTTATCGAGGGGGCAATCTGACAGTACTAGAGGTCGCAGAAGTGTTTTCTCCATCCTGTCTAATTTGCATCTCCCAAGCCAAAATCTGTGAAGTCACTTGACCATTTCTTTCAGACCATAAGGGGGAAAAGGGAAATGGAGTGGGATGCAGGCAGACCCCAGTGAAGGGGGAGGGCTAGTGGAGAGCTGTTCCAGGGTTCTGAGTTCACCTGTCTTCAGTTAGTTAAACCTTCACTGGATCCCAGAAATGTGGTTCTGGAAAGTTCTTACCTCTTCATCAAAGAAGGCTTGTAGGGTTGAGTGGCTCCCTCAAGATGTCGTGGAATTTATGAAGTGTTGGAAGGAGGTGGAGCAAGGCAAAGGGGAATATTCATTCATTTAAAAATGCTTACACTCTGATTATTTAACTTCTGTTCCCTAAATCTGTATATAGCTGCCCACTCATAAGTCTTCCTCTCTGACAGCCAGGAGGACTGGTGTTAAGTCATGAGATTTGGCTTGGTATTTAAGGCCTAGAGCACTGGGTCTAGAATCCCCATTCTGAGTGTCATCTAGAATCCCCATTCTGAGTGTCATTTAGAATGAAATGAGAATATCCATAGGTTCTCCTTCCTCTAAGTGTAATAGGGAGAAAGAGACATTTCCCCTTGAGTCTTCATGCTAACCCAGTTTTTTGAAGTGGGTCTTATTTTGCCAAAAGCCACATAGCCATATAGAGAAAATGGCAGAGCTGGGATTCAGACCCCCCCCCCCAGGAGGATTGTGTCTCCAGCTGTGTATTCAGGGCGTGCTGAAGATCAAGAAGGACTACATCCCCAGTGACTGGATTTCGTGTTTAGTGTCTGCCCACTTTCCTACTTCTACTGATTCTTTGATCCTTTCTAGTGTGAGTTAGGGATGGAGAATGCTTCCTTTGTAGCAGGAGAGGATCCACTTAGGTAGAAAACCAACCTCCCTTCCCCAATTTGGTATTCTTCCCTCTACCAGCCTCCTTCTTGCTCTGAGTCATCTGCCAAAATAGAATGAGGCCCGGGTAATAGTCCCCCTGACCTCCTGTTTCCTTTCTTCCCTGAGATCTGCATCCATCCTGGGGGCCCAGCTAGCCGGGGCCATCCAGATGGATTAGGATTCTTAAGAGGAAGCATGGGTAGTATTAGAGCAAGCACAGGGTCCTGAGCTCTAGTCCTGCTGACACCAACCAGTTCTGTGGCCTTTTACCAATCACTTACTCATTCTATACATACTGGTGCTGGCTAGGCGCTGGGCCTCTGGATATACATGATGGTGACAAGATGGACATGGTCTCTGCCCTTAGAGAAGTCTCAGTCTAGTGAGAAATAAACAAGCAAATCCTGGACAGAGGAAGATGTGCTCAAGATGGGAGAACAGAATGCCCTTGCGGTGTATAACAGGAGGGAGCCCTTAGCCCTAATAGGAGAAGGTTGGCCAGGGGAAGCTTCCAGCAGACAGGGCCTTTTAAGCTGAGACCTGAAGGATGGGAGACAATTAGCCAGATGAATCAACACCTCTTCATAAATAAGATGAAAGAATTACATGGATGAGCCTAAGATTCCCTTTCAAGCTTAATCTAGACTCCTATAAATTCTTTTAGATATCCCCAATATCGCTAGTGCAATGTTAGGCACGAAAAAGGGTGCTCGGTAGATGCTTCTGAACTGAAGGAACGCATGTGCGATGGAATTCAAAAATTAAAGTGAAAGCATCTCCAGATGATTGATTTCCCTCCATCACCACCTGAACGGGCCCTGGCCGCCTTGGGGGGTTGATCTCCCGCGCCCTCCTGGGCCTTCCCCACCCCACTTCAGCTTCCTTTGACCAGAATGTGAATCCTTATTTAGGAGGCAAGCCATGCATGATCAAAGAGCCCAGAGAAAAGAAATCTGCCCTGTTCCAGCCAGGTGCACCCTGGTGGTCCCCGAGGGACTACAAGATAGTAGTGATGAGTGGACCAAGCTGCTGTCTGTCCGCAGAGACAGGCGGAGGCACAGACTCAGAGCCAGAACACCTGTGACTCGGAAATGTGGTTCACTGCTGAAACTCAACTCTCAAATTCCTTACAGGGAGACCTGGTCTGTCGCAACAGAGTGAGAATTCCCTGACAGGGAATCTGATTATATCTGGGGCCTCGGCTGCTGCAGATTTCAGGACATTCCTGGGTCATGTGCTTGGATGGGGCTGGAAAGCTGGGCTGAGCTAGGCCATGTTAATCCTGCCTGCCCCACCATCCCCTCCTGGGAAGGGGAAGCCTGACCCCCCACCCTCATGTCCCATCACTGATCGCTGTGGGAAGGGCTCTGGGGATAACCATTCTTTGGGCCACATCAGGCAAGCAATGAGAAACAAGCATCTGTCCCAGTCCCTACACACTTCACAACCTGTGTGCATGTGTCTCTGTGTGGGTCTAGACTAGTAAAAACAGATGTTAATGTGGCTCAGAGGAAGGACTGTCGTGGGGCGTGGAATGCAGGGTGTTGGTGGGAGGGCAGGTGAGAGACACCAAAGCCATATTTTGGGAGGGGTAAAGCATTTCTTCTGAAAAAGAAATACATCTAAGATGAGATGAGCCTTGAGGGGTGACCAAGAATTAGCTCTCTGCTCTCAGGAAGGATACAGTTTAGTAAGGGAAATAAGATAAATACAGAATTTTTCATATAACCCAAGGCAGAAAGTAGGAAGGGCCTCAAGAGAACTACAGGGTGCCATGTGAGGCTGAAAGGACGGGTCCTGCTCTGGCTCGGGGGTTTGACGGAGGACCTTAGAGGGAGAAGTGTGAGGAAAGGCCCTCAGGGATGGGCTGGAGGTGGGTGAGGGGAGGTGATGCTGAGTGTGTGTGTGAGGGGTTGGGGGCCAGGTAGGAGAGTAGAGAAGGGCCAGCCAAGCACTCTCTGGATCTGATCAACTTTAGGGAGACTCCCAGGCCCTAGAGCATCTCCTCCCTCGGGATTTACCTCAGTATTGGTGCCTGAACCCATCTTTCTTTTCTTTGGGAAAAGGGCTGCTGCAGGCTGGAGGGCCCTTCCAGCCGGAGACCCTAACAATTACATTCCCTTTCCCTGGAGCCCTGAGGATGGGTTACAGCTCTCAGTCCACCCCCAGGTGGTGGACAATATGGCCTTGAAGGGGCTGCCCTTCCCCTCTCAGGAGCTGGTGGAATTGTCTGGATAGGAACCTGTGAGTTAGAAGTGGCCCTCCAAGTTTAGGAGGTGGGAGTCCAGAGAGAGGGTTTTCAATTCTGGAACTGGCTGGCAAGTTAGGATGCCTGACTCGATGCTGCTCTCTACTGACCAACTCAAGCCTAGCAAGCCCTATGGGATGCCCAAAGCTGGGAACCACAAGCTTTGCTTAGGTAATTATTCCTTCAATGAGCCAATCACTCCGTTCGTTCGTTCGTTCATTCGTTCATTCGTTCACTCATTCATTCATTCAACAAATATGTACTGAGCAATGACGATAATAAGTATAACAATATCTAACATATATTGAGCCAGCCCTGGTTCTAACTGTCTTAGATGCAGTGTCCTGTCCAAGACCACCCAGCCCTGACTGGGACAGAGCTGAGAGGCTAACCCTGTGGGTCCAACATCACAGCTCGAGCTCCTAAGGATGCTATTGCTTTGTAGCACCCAAATGGGCTCTGGAAATACAAGCTGGAACTAATGAGCTGCTTACAATCTAAATTCTGTAAACCTTACCAGGAATTTGGGGGAATCGTGTGCAGCAAACACTGAAATGCTCTCGATTACAACAGGAAATCGAATCTTATTCACAGGTTAGGCCTGGGAGGGACATGACCCTAGCTCTTCTCCCCAAAACAGAAAGTTTGCCTGTCTCCTGCCTGGGGTGCCAGGGAGAGCTCGGGCAGATGAAGAGTCAGAGGTCCTGGGTTCCAGCTCCTCTTTTAACCACCAACACACCACTTGGGTCATGGCCAAGGACTTTCTCTCCTGGGAAAGTTTCCTCGTCTTTAAAAAGAGATTTGGATAAACCAACTCTGAGTTTCATTTCAACTCTTCTGGGACTCCTGTGCCATATCTAAGAAAGGACGAATTGGAAATCTCCATCACTCCCATTCTTTTGCCCAGCTGGCAGGTGATTCCATCGCTACAAGACATTCAGGGGCTCCATTCCCTTTCCCAGCCCCAGACTGGAATGATGTTTTGGCTCAGGAATCTACAACCCAGGCTCAGGTTCTGCTCTGCCTTGCCGCTGAGTGACTATGACTCTCTCGCATCTCTTGGCAACTCTGCGGACAAGAATTCTTGTCTTCTACGCTGCGTGCCAGCCACTGTATACATGAATTCCATCCTCGCCACAACTCTGGGACGTGGGTGCCGGCATATGATTATCCCCATTGCAAGGATGACGAAACTGAGACACAGAGATCCAAGAACTGTAGTGTCATAGACCTGGCAAGTAATGGAGCCAGACGGGAGCCCAGGCCATCTGGCTTCAGAAACAGCTCCCTTAGCCCTCATTCTTCAG